GATCTCGATAGTATTGCTGCTGCGGCACTCTCAGTATATCGTGGGCAATAGCCCGCTATACAGTCCTGGCCATAATTTTTGAGAATGACACAAATATTATTTTCATTACGTCTGCTGCTTCAGTTTATATAATGGCAATTTGCATATACTCCAGAATGTTATGAGGAGTGATCAGATCAAGTCCCTCTTTCCCATGAAAATGAACTTAATCCCTAAAAAAACATTTCCACTGTATTTCAGCCCTGCCACAAAAGGACTAGCTTACATCATGTCAGCGATTTTCTCTCGTTAACACAGGTGTCAGTGTTGACGAGGACAAGGCTGGAGACCACTCTGTCATGCTGATTGAGTTAGAATAAAGCTGGCCATACACCTTACAATTATCTGCAGATTTTCTGTGGTCAGATGGAAAAGGTGGAACAGATTCCTCCATCTACACTTAACAGTGTGGATAGAGCAATCTCCCACTGGGCCAAGCTTCAGTATCTTGCTAGTCGGCCCCACTGGCTCTCAAAACACCTGAAAAATGCCTGCATTCAATCAGACTGTTCAGGTATTTTGGGAGCCAGCGGGGCAGACTAACAAGATACTGAAGCTTTGCCCAGTGGGAGATTCCTCCATCCACACTGTTAAGTGTAGATGGAGGAATCTGTTCCACCTTTTCCATCTGACCATAGAAAATCTGCAGATAAGTGTAAGGTGTACGGGCACCTTAATGCTGGCCACACATCTTACATCCATCGCAAGACTTTTGTCTTGCGATGGTTGTAAGGTAATTAAAAAAACATACGATCTGCCCATCTTGGACAGGCAGATTGTACGTTGAGGTGCGGGCTTCCGATGACCGCAATACTGAACGGGCAGTGTGCGCTTGTGCACACCGACCTGGCGGCAGTTAAGTCACGATCATGCTACAAACCAGCCGAAAATCGTACGATTCTCGGCTGGTTTTCGAACATGCTCGAAAGGCAAAAGTCGTGCGACCGTACAGTAGAAACGGCCGCACGCCTTCCACACATCTTGCGATAATCGTGCGATCGCGGGATTTTCCACGATTATCGCAAGGTGTGTGGGCACCTTTACAGACTGGAAGCTTTAAAAGGAGTGTGGTTCTTGAAATCATTGTTCTTCCTCTGTTACCTGCAAGGAAACACGTGCAGTCATCATTGCTTTTGCACCAAAAGGGATTCACAGGCAAGGATTTTGCTGCTACTAAGATTGCACCTAAATCAACAATATATCAGATCATCAAGAACTGCAAGGAGAGGTTCAAGCTTCAGGGCGCCCAAGAAAGTCCAGCAAGTGCCAGGAGCGTCTCCTAAAGTTGATTCAGCTGCAGGCTTAGGGCACCACCAGTGCAGAGCTTGCTCAGGAATGGCAGCAGGCAGGTGTGAGTGCATCTGCACACCCAGTGAGGCGAAGACTTTTGGAGGATGGCCCGGTGTCAAGAAGTGCAGCAAAGAAGCTACTTATCTCCAGGAAAAACATCAGGGACAGACTGATATTCTGCAAAAGGTACACGGATTGGACTGCTAAGGACTGGGTTAAAGTCATTTTTATCGTTCCGAAATCGAACACAGTTGTGTTTTCGTACGATAATCGGCCACTTGATGGGCAGTGAATGATCAGAATTACGGTACAACTGGACTAATTTCCTCAATCGGTCAGGCTGGAAAACTTTTTTTGAATGGTACGAAAATCGATGGATTAGTGTGAAAAAAAATCGCAACATGAAAACTGCACGTGCGCAAACGAAAATCTTTTCTGTCGATCTACGAAATTCGGTCAATTAGTATTGCTAACAAACGATAATAAAAATCCACATTGGTCTATGCATGATGGGGTATTCGAGCGGAACACGGACGACGGTTCGATGGGGGCACAACATAAATCAAACGATAATCGCACGGTGTATGGCCAGCTTAACACTTACTCCCATTCCATTGATGTTCACTGTGCTTCTTCTCTGGAACCGCACATATTTTCTCCTAAAAGCGCCCTCCTTTTCTTGTGCATGTGAGCCACAGTCCCTTTCATTCCTGCGGGTAGAGCTGCACTCTTCATGATTGCTGGAGGCAGCCACGAGTACAGCTCCCAGTAGAAATAAATGGGGCCTTGGCATGCATGCTAAGAAAAATGGGACCTGGTGACGACATTTCTGCAGAAGTAGAATGAATAATGCTTGAACCTCTGCCAACCTTTTAATTGTTGCCTGTTTCCCTGCTGCATATTTTCCCCTTACTTCCTGTCTATTAAAAGGTTGTCCCCAGAACAGAAAGTGAGGGGGAATCCCTCTAACCCCACATAGCAGTAAAACCTGATTGGGGTGGGGGGCTGGAGAGCTTGAGTTCTAACTATATTCCCAATTCTATCCAAAATAAAAAACTAAACTAAATTGGGCTATAGATACACTTTACAGGTGATCAGTCAGTCACACTTTTACAGGTGATACTATCAGTCACATGTGTAGCTCTACAATGTCACTGTGTTAGTTGTCAATACTTTGCATATAGCTGGGCGAATGCCATTCAGATGACATTAGAGCCACTACATGGTGCAGAGGAGAATAGCAACCTCCTATGCTCCTCTGGCTCCATCTATTCACTGTAATGGTGTGTGGACAGTGCTCGTTCAGCAATACTCTGAGCAAAATTGTTATAGGAATAACTCTTGTAGTTGGATTGGCCCAACAGTAATGACAACCAGAGTTTAGTTGCAAACCCATTTCTCTACAGTTTGTTACTGACCACAGTTAATGCCTGCAAGCCCAGACTTATGTGTGCTGAATTTATCAGACTTTGTGTGCTCAATATTAAAAGAGAACTATGGGGCAAGTATTTTCCCCATAGTTCTCTTTAGGATCACGGGAGGACATATCATCCTAACCTCCTCCTGTGACCCAAAGCTCCGTATATAGCGGGCTATTGCCTGTCTGAATCCACCCAGCTGCGTGAGTGACAGCTGGCTCTGCCTATCTAGAGGCAGAGCCAGCTGTGCCCGCCCCCTCCTCTGTCCATTTCTCCACTCAGTGCTGGAGGATCGTAGAGGGGAGGGGGAATCCAGGGAGACGGATCGGGAAGTGAGCAGATCGGTGGCATGCTTCTGCACGCTTCCCGATCAATAGAGCCGACCTGTGACAGCTTCTTTGTCACAGGTCGGCTCTAACTATGAGGATGAGGGCAAATTGCTCACCTCATAGTCCTCCTTTTAATTTACAGAAGGTACTAGGATTTAAACTCCCCACCTTGGAGTAAAAATAAAAAACTGTTGATCTTAGTTACATGGCTATATGAAGGGAGTGGAGCGACAAACTTTGATGTAGCAGAGAGAGGAGACTGAACAATTCAGTTTGGGAGGAAGATGGTCACTCATGACGGTGTGGAGCTTCTTGTGATGATAGGAGGAGAATTGGAGAATCAGGGATATCGGTCCAGTATGTAAGATACCAGGAAGGGGATAAAACATGTACGGTGAGTGAGAAATTGAAGTTAAGTTGAGAAAGGTGAGTGGGAAGTCATGAGGAGTCCATCTGGAGGTGAGAAGATGAATAGGGCATAAGGACAGTAGAGATGCAGCGCTGCATGAGAGGATTTTGTTAATGTGCTTTCCATGCACAGTGTAGCTAAATCGGGTATGGATTGGTCTGTGTCATTGTTACAGTGAAAATATGTTGTGACATTTGGTTGTTGGTAAATGTTCTGTTGGAGTCCAGTCAACACTGGTGGCACAATCCTCCAAATGTTGGCGTCTCTCTTTACATATAAATGAAGGATACAGTGGAGGAGACATTAATTGAAGAATCCGTTGTAATTTATACTCAGAATTGTGGCTTTTTTTTTTATGGCACTTTATTTTACCCATTCTGGAGATGAATTAATAACGTCCAGCGTGTTCAGCTTTTGGAGATTGATGAAGCTTGCATGGCTTGACAGAAAGTTTATCTCTGGGAATTCATTCCACCAATCTTCTGGGCTCTATTATGAGGTAAAACGCTGACAGCTGTCACCAGTAAAGTGCTGACATACTTGTGAGTAAAACCACATTATTATGTAGATAAAACAATCCTGGAATTGCTTCCGTCAAATTAATCTCATCTTGTTCTTCGCACAAAGGCAAGAAAATAATTCTATTTGATCTATAAACGCTTTAATTGGCTTTTAACGTGTAGATTCTCTCCTCTTATATGTAGATATTTCATGTTTTAATTGGTAAGCTGAATGTATGCCCGGTTTTCAGAATATATGGGCTGATCATCTAATTAGCGTTTCAAGCAGCACCTATCTGGTCTGGCTTTTAATTTACCATGATCACAGAGGGCCAGTGATCATGGTGGACTGGTCTGCTGTGTAACCCAAAAGCCCAGTTTTCATAACCTCTTCATAATCATGGTAGAGAAACAAATGACCTCCCTAGGTCTGAGGGTTGTTACCAAAATTCTTTCAATCACAGTAGTTAAAATGTTTAGGATTATCCTTTAACACAATTCAATCGGAATTGACGGATTAGTTCTTTGGTGTTTGGTTACACAAGATACTGGAACAGAAGACGCACATAAATTGGTCTAACCTGTGTTTTGTAAGTTTGCACACACACATTCATTACAGAGGAAAGTCTGTGAAGGTTCTCATTCATCCAGGTCATGTTATGTCTGTAAAATATAAGTCAAGGCAACTGAACTTGCTGTATTCTTCTTGAAGACGTTTCACTGGTCATCCAACCAGCTTTTTCAATTTAGAATTGACAAAGCTGGTTGGATGATCAGTGAAACGTCTTCAATAAGAATATAGCATGTTCAGGCGACTGGCTCTGTGAATTCTTTATAAATAGACCCCTTTTGTGTAATCAAGCACCCTTAGTTTTTGAGTTTCTTAGAAGCTTTTAGGAAAACTGAAGATGAGCTCCAGACTTTATAACCATAAAAGCAGTGCAGGTTTACTTTGAGTATGATCTCTGTTTGTTGTTTTTTCAGGCTTTTTAATGTTTTTTTCTTTTTTCTTTAGATCTGCTTTCTTATGTTTGCCATTTTATACATTGTGTCGTACTTCTTCATCACACAATACAAAAGGAAAGCAGGTAAGTTCTGCTATTATTTTCTATTTATGGCCTACAAAGCTTTATTAAGGACATATTTTTAAATCCTCCTTTTTTCTTTTCTTTTATACTTTTAGAGGTGCTTTCCAGTAGCATTTATCTTCCATAGACTCTCTGTACAGTATATTGTTATGATAAGGCACTTCCACTGGCGAAGACCTCTGTAAGGACTGTTTCCTGTCATCTTGTAGTCTGAAATCCAGACGTTCCCTCAGAGTATTTCCAGCTCTAGTGTCTTCTAGGAATCTTGTCCTAATTAGGTCTTTGTCATGTTGCACATCTGCATGGCGCTGTAGGAAAGCCGGAGATCAGCTTCCATTCTCACATTTCTGAGAGCTAGTTGATCATTTCTGCCTTACTGCCTTTTCCTATGTGATAATATACAAGAAATGTTTCACTTAACCCTAATTTATCTGCCATCTGCTGTAAATCACGCTTATTTTAAAGTTCTGCAAGAAAATGCTGTTCCAGGCTTCTTTGATTTATTTCAGGTATTTATATAGCGCCGACAATTTACGCAGAACTTTACATAGTTGCAGATTCACATCAGTACCTGCCCTCAAGGAGCTTACTATCCAAGCTGCCTGTCTCACATGCATACATAGAGGGCCATTTTTTTTTTTGAGAGGAGCCAATTGGCCTACCAGCATCTCTTTTGGCATGTGGGAGGAAGCCGGAGTATCCGGAGGAAACCCACGCAAGCACAAAGAGAACATGCAAACTCCTTGCAGGTAGTTTTAGCACTGAATACATATGTGAAAGTTTAGGCCAGCCTTTCTCAATCAGGGTGCCTATTGGCTTCCTGATAGGTGCCTTGACATTTTCACAACGAGTCATGCCTCTCCATGGTGTTTGTGGGGCCTCCTAATGAAGGGGGAGGGACTTCTGATGCAAAGCGGGCTTTTTACATTTCAGACTAGGGTGCCTCAAGGTTTTGCAAAATTTTAAAGGCAGCTGTGACTGAAAAAAGTACTTGATCACATTAGCCTTGCTAAAGCAGAGGATCAGGCAGTCTGAAGTTTGATTACTAGTACCATGCACAAGAACAGACGGGAAAAAAAAAGGAAACCTTTGTTCTTGTGCATTGGCAGACCATTTAAAAAGCAACAAGAATGGACAGGTCTGAATAGGTCCTTAAGAAATTCTGCAATTTGCAAGGTTTGCTGCTTTTTCTGTCCACTTTACATGAGGCAGCAGTTCTACATGAAATAGAAAAGGAAGAACCAGCAAAGTCTCTGCAAACAAGCTGGTTGGCCATCCCCCTTTTCTGCTGTAAGAATTTTCTATTCTTACTTTTTAAACAATAATATTCTGAAAATGTATTAAATATTTTCTTTTGTTGTAAAATGATTATGTATATCTGCAGAGTTTATAAATGTACAGACAGGCTAGCTGGAAATATATAGGAAAGGGTAGGAGAAACAATTTTTAAATGCACTTCATTGCAGAAGGATGGAACACTGCTGAAGTCTGAGTTCAAAAAAAATTCTCTGAAAAGTGGATCACTTGGAAAGAATTTCTCCAATGTCTGTTTATTATGAACATCCAGTAATACCACACACAGTCATGCAAGTGTTCCAGAAGTAGGTGAATAAGATTTTTGGAACTGGCAACATTTTAATGTCTTTTAAAAAAAAAAAATGTTTTGAGGGCAGGTGTACTTTTTTGTACAGCTACGCTATTTAAGGTCAGCCACCCCCCATCAGCACCCCTTAGAAGTGTTGTACTTACCCGTCCCCGCTCCAGTATGATTTTTACTGTGCATCCCTCTGGGCGCTGCATAGACTTTTCTTCAGAAATTCTCCCAGGCAGGCAAGTGTGCTACAATCTTCGTTTTCATGGAAAAGCCTTTGTGGCCTATCTCAGCTCAGTAAAGGGCTGTACTAGAAGTGTCCTTTTCTAGATTTCATGATTCCACAGTGACAATTTTATATCTCTAGCTGTTATCTTTCTGTTTGTTAACCTATTTATCAGGATTGTATTACAGTTTTGTGCTTAAGTTTTTTACATTTGTTACATTTGTTTCAGATGAGCAAGAGGATGAGGACGCCACTGTCAACCGTGTTTCGTACGTATGCATTATCTATTTCTTTTTTTACACATAAATAATAACATTTGGCCAGTAATATTGTTAGGGAAGTAGTTGATTCCGTACGCAGAATTTTTTGCATTCAAAAACTTACCAAATTTACTGAATTTTATCACTGGTAAAACTGCAAAATGCATTTTTCTATTTTTGACTTCCTTTTGCTTTATAATATAAAAAAAAGTAAAGAAAAACTCCAGGAATTCTTTTGCTACCCCTGCACTGTAGCGGTTAACTGTTTGTTTGTGTCTAGGTTAAAAAAATAGATATACTCACCCAAAGCTCGGAGCTGGCTTCTTCTTAGATCCAATCACTGGAATGTCTCTTCCCCTTTGTCTGCAGCGGTCTAGTAAAGGTCCAGTAAATCATCATGTCTATACCCTGTGCATAGACATGAGGACACTGAGGAACATTCCAATGTACTGTGGAGAAGGGGACAGGCTGGAGGGAGCGCTGTAACAGCTGGCCGGCTTAGATCTTCGGGTGAGTATAATTGTGTTATTTTTATCACCTCCAAATAAACAAGCACTTAAACCTCACAGTGACGGGGTAGCTCCACTGCACGGGTTATTAAAAACAATTCCTGGAGTTCTTTTTTAACTAAAAAGCAATACCACCAAAATAAAGCCTTATGTCTTTCAAAAACAGTATATTTACCACCTCTGTATCATAAGCAATGAGGTAGTTTCAAAATATTATTGAGCCCATAGAAAATGGCTCTTGGGCGTGGCCTGAGCCGCTGAACATGGCAGACGTGTGCTGATTCAGCTCCTCTTCCTCTGGGCACCTGCCGCCAACTTTCTCTAGCTATCTGCATCGAACCTACCCCAAACCTTCCCCATTACCATCCCGGACCTGTTCTCCCCCCCTCATGGGCAGGAGAGGCGCCTATTCGCAACGAACCCGCAAATCTACGCGCTCCTCGGCTGCCTGCAAAACGAGGGCCGCGACACTCTTTAGCTCCCCTCCCATGGTACCTCTACCTACTATTGTATGCCGCCCGTTGCACGGGCATTTTGATGCTCCCCCACATGACTGTTTCTGATGTTTATTTGAATTCATTGTATCGCAAAACCTAATAAAACATATTGAAGAGAAAATGGCTCTTGAACGTAAACTAAAGTCTTGGAATCTGTATAAATACACCTTGCAGTGCCCCTCCTCTGCACTGCAAGGGTTAATCACCCATTTTTTAAAAAGAGATTGGAATAACCACAATGTATACCTTATTCCGCGTTCCCCTGGCAGCCAACCCGCCTCTCCACTTTTTCAGTGCTTCCTGAATGTGGGCAAACCCCCAACATCCTTGTGTACAGTGCAGCACTGAATGCTACGACCTGTCATGCGGCTAAAAGGAGCAGCCCTGGGGACCAATCGTACAGCCGGGTAGAAGCCAAGATAAAGGGAAATATTTCTGCTTATTTAAAGTAGAACTTAAGGCAAAACTTTTTTTAATTTTGGATAGAGTACAGGAGGGTTATTACCAATCCCCACTGGAAGATTTCCCATCTATTCCTGTTCTGGTTACAATCCACAATTTGTGATTTTCCTTTACTTTCATTGATAAAGGTCACCAGGACAAGCAAAGAAGGTGAATCTCCCTAAAAGGGACACGCATACCAATGAAAACTGTTCTAATCCCTCTTTACTCTATCAAAAACAAAAAAGTTCTACCCCACTCCTAGATCTAGCAGTTTGTAAAATTATTGAAGATGCCCATAGGATGTACTTCCTCAATATTCTGACACACTTTCACTCAGCCCTGTGAATATGCTCATATCCTCACTAAGCCTGCCTTCTGAACGACAACTCAAAATCTGAGCAATGTAACATTATCATTGCTTGCTGAAAGCAATGCATGCTGGGATATGTAATCATGAAAAATCATCACACCAAGCAGCAGGGAAAGAGATACAAAGCACACTGGGATTCCAGGAAGTAAGGGGGGGGACGGCCCCTTCTTCGGGACGCAGAAGCGATCTGCGCCAGGATCGCTTCTGTTGTAAAGCCGGCAGTCGGCTCTACAAGTTTAAACAGAGTCCCGGCGGCAAAAGTCACCGGGAGTCTGTTTAAACAGCCCCGATGCTGGCGACGTACACTGTACGTCGTCAGTCACGAAGGGGTTAAAATCATGTATAGTATGTGTTGCTGTTACAATGCTGATGTTCTAACAGGATATTATATGCTGGGACTTCAGAACTCCTTTAAAACCCCTTGACAAAATAGGCTTTTCACCGTTGGTGAATTTTAACAGATGCCTGAAGTTCAGCTTTAATGGACTAAAGAATTACCACGGGTACAAGGCCTCGTAATTGATAACATTCTTTCTCTGCAAGCAACTGTTGCAATGCCTGTGATGTCACTGATGTAAGAAGTAGCTTTATTCAGTGAGATAAAACAAGAGTACTCGCTGCAGGCCCTGTCCAAGGCACCACCCCCTCTGATACGTTTCATCTTTACGGGCTTAGACACGGGTGAACAGGGAAAGAGTTCCTTATATACAGCTCTCAATCAAAAAGATGACAAACCCCCCCCCCTGAAAACCTTTAAAGGCACATGCCTCATCTAAACATGGCATGATGTATTATATTGTAATAGTGATATGTAACATAAATACTCTATATTACAATTTACAATCATAATTGCATGATTCAAACCATCGTTTTGCAAGAAAAGAAAGAACACCTATTGTACTTCCGTGATACTAAACATATTCTTTAGAAGTTGGGGGTAGAAAGTGGGATACCCAAAGTAAGTGGTTTACCCCTGTTACATTACATCATTAATACAATTCTTGCATTCTTGCATTCCTCATGATTTGGATTTGAGAGCTTTGCATTACACACATTATGTCAAAGATTTAACCACTTGCTGACCGGGTGTGACACCCCCTTCCTGGCCAGGCTATATTTCAGTGTTCAGCGTTGCGGTACTTTGACTGACATTTATTCCGTCATGCAACGCTGTAGTGACATGAATTTTATACCATTTTTTAGGGACAGATAGACTTTCTTTTGGTGGTATTTAATTACCACGACTATATAACGAAAAAAAACGTGAAAATTTTGAAAAATAAACTGTTTTCCTTACGTTATGTTATAAAACATTTTGTTATTACCCAATTTTTTGGTAAAATATAAAAGATCAGGTCACGTCGGGTAAATAGACACCAAACATGTCAAGCTTTTAAAATTCTGACTTTAGAGAGCAAAAATGGGGAGAGATCACCGGTGGGGGAAATGTTGATCTCATCCTTCTCTCTTCGAGCAGCCACTGTGCCGGTCTTCTCAGTCCCGGGCACAGCAGGGGGGACAGCGGTGCCCGGGATAACTGGCAGCGGCAAAGGAGGGGGGGCGCGGCAGCGAAGGGGGGGCCTGCATCATACGATGTTATACAAGCGATCAGCCGGCTACAGAGCCGGCCGAGTACTCGTATGAGACAGCCGGTAACGGCTGTCATCCTTCCCAGCGGGATTCTGCTCGTGCTCGCCCGCAGAAAAAAAAATCACGTACAGGTACGATCACCTGCCAGGAAGGATCCGCCGTCCACTCGTAATTTTACAGGCGGCAAGGGGTTAAAGAATTTTATTTTGTAGGCAAGACTTTTTTGCTGAAACATAGTTCTTTGACAGGGTTATCTCCAGAGATATGGCGCTTCTACGGGCGCCAAATTTGTGCCTTGCTATGCCAGCCTCTATATTGGTTGGTGGCAGGAGCACCATGTCTTTGGAGATCGGAACCCATTAAAGGGTTTATATAAGAGCAAGCCACTCAAATGAATTACTCACTTTCAATAAGTGGTAGTCATTTTGAAAATATTATCTACGTTCAAGCTTATAGGAAATCTATTTCTAGAAATTCTCTCCTCCATGCCATCATCCCAGTCATATTATAGGGGGGGTATACCTAAGGGTCAATTCATTAATGCTAGACAGGATTGTTCTTATTAGGGTTGCACAGATACCAAGTACAGTACTCAGTACAAGTACGAGTACATGTACCGATACTTTTGAGCTCCAAGACTAGACTAGAGAAAAATTCAAAAGTTAGGAGGCAGCTGTCATTTGTAAGGAGCACACGGAGCTCCTGGGATTTGTACATCTCTGTTTTAATGTACGATTTTGTTTTTATAAATATAAATAAAGGGATGCACAGATACCAGTTTTGCGAGTACTGGTACTTGCCGAGTACTTACAAGTACGAGTACTGATAAATGTTTGTTTATTGTCATGTGACAGTTTTTCTAAAACAATACAGACTAATGATTTCTGGACATTGGTGGAGTGCCAGAAACAGGTCCCCGCTGCAACCCTGGTAGTTCTCATGAAAATGCCAAGTATCTGCACTGGTACTCGAAAAGTATCTAGTTCTTATATGGGAAATTTTGAGATGGAGGCTTTGGCAGTGGAGGAGAGATGATAGTATTACTAGGACCTATATTGCTGCGTAGACTGCGTAGGCTTCCTCTCTACAAGTCCCTACACTTGAAGAGAGAATCTCTAAAGGGAAATCAGAGCTATTAGAAATAAGACACATTCTTCATAATGTGTTTTCCAGCTGTTGTGGTTGATTCTCATTGTACTATTGTCCTCTATTACTGCGCCCCCAGTGCTAAGTACCCTGTACTAGAATGATGTTCCTTTTATTGTATGTTTTTCTTTTGCATATGTTAGTGGAATTTCAATACCTTACTCTGGCTTTGTAAGCTGTACTTTGGCTATGTATTGTCAGTGTCTGCTTTAGTTGCCTTCTCCCTCTTTCTTTTTGTTTACTGCCGCCTTGGCACTATTGTTGTATATAAAGTTATACAATTGTAAACTACAAACCTTAATAAAAATCACCTTTAAAAAGAAATCAAAGACAGAAGTATGACCATTCTCAACCTGTTACTTATACTACTCGGTATAGCTTAGAATTTGAAGAGGTTAAGCATATAACGCATAGATGTTTACTCATTTTATATGGGAATCTGGACCTGAAAGGGACGTTACTGTGGGGTGTATGTTACTGTGGGGTGTATAATTTGTTGCTAGCAGAGCCTATACAATATTTTGTCTCCTAGTTTTTCATTTCAATCTAAAAAGAAAACATGGTTTATTACAACGGGTATGTTTTAGATGTGGTTCTTCTCGCTGCTCTAGCTGTATCCTGTTGGGTGATTTGCATGTCTTGCTGGAGATTCTTTTGAAATTCAGCAACTAGTAAACTGTAAGACTTGATATGTGGAGTATGTTATTTCCTGTATAGTGTGCAGTAAACAATACGTTGGTAGAATGCAATCTCTAATATTAGGACAAAAAAGAACGCCAACAAGGTGAAATATTATGTAAGGTGTCCTGGCTGTAGAATAGAATCTTCAGGAGTACAAATTATTTAGAGGATTCAGCATCCTAATAGAAGAGGAGACTGTTTTTTTTCTTTGCTGAGGAGAAGGGGAAGTATTTTGGATATTTAAGATACCCGCATCCCCAAAGGCTTAAACTTTGAGTGGGATGTGATACACTGAATAAGTTTATCCTGCTTTTTGTTCAGTTTTAATTTCTCTGTTCTATTTTTCTACTGCCTTTTAAAAGGGATATCAACACCACTGCTATTGATCCTCTGCTTGTGCAGAGTGTGCATACAGTAGATGGCTTATGGGGAGTCTGCTGACTTATTTCCCGCTTGAATCTCCTGTTGTCACATATGTGTAGGGCACTTTGGCTAACGTGCTGGACTTTGAAATCTTCTCCCGTTCTTAACATCAATAAGCCTCCTTTCTTTTCTCTACTCCCTCAACTTCAGCGTTGAAGCCCTCCGAGCTTGGCCACCTTTGTGCTGCTTCGACTTTTTGCAAGAGGTGGTGTCCCATGGCTACAAACTTGCATTTCATTCCCTGCACCTTCCTTGTGTTCTCGCTTTAAACCTTATTGTTTTTCCTTGCAGACTTGTCCATTGGGCCCTCTCTGGGCCAAGGTGTCATAGCCCCTGGTCCCTGCTGTAGAACAGCTTGAAGTGTTTTATGCCAACCTATTCAGGGTTTCTAAACCCAAAGGAGGTATTCGCCCCATCTTTGAGCTCAAAGCCTTCAATGTTTGTCTGGGCCCAAAAATTACAGATGGTAAAATCCATGTCTGTCATTGTCCACTTTTACCAGTTAGACTTTCTGACTTATGTGGTCATAAAAGATTTTTACTTTAAAAAGGAGTATTCATTTCTCAAACCTTTTTCCAATAATGAATCCAGATCAAACAAATACTACATTGCCAAACAAAGTGTTTCTTTATATTTTTGACCAAGCACTTACTGCCATCGTGTTTCTGAACAGCTGGTTCCAAGTCTCTCAGCTCAACTTCCCTGAACATCCTGCCCAGTCAAGATCACAAGGGACAGAGCAGTTTCCAGCAGTACTAGCTTCTAGGAGGGTGGAGGGAGGATAGGGGGCCAGGGGGGAGGGGAGTAGCTTGGTTTGCTGTTTGTGGAAACACATGCAGCTTACTAGCACACACAAGGGTGGCACCATAGGATCCTGCAAGTGAAAGGAGCCCCCCTAAAACAGGAGATCAGGGTCAGTGGTCAGGGGATCAGCTCATTCTGCAGGAAACGAAAACTTTTAAGCATCAAGAAGCAGCACCCATTGTAAGTGTTTTAATCAGTGTTTGGAATAGCTTAAAACCCTTTTGACTTTAATATCACTTTAACATGTGCCCTTCTTTCCAACACGTCAGCACTTTCTGCAGTTTGCTGTAGGGCCACTGCACTACCAGTTAGTGGCCCTGCCATTCAGCCAATTTTCTGCATTTTGGGTGGTCTCTAAGGCCCTGGCTCCAAAGTTGGCCCTGTTGCACCCCTGGATTATCCCCATCTTGGGTTTATTGGACAACCTCCTGTTGAAGGAAGTGTTAGCCAGGGCTTTGTTGGACAGCATGTATGTGACTGTCCAGACATTAGAGGTTCAGTTAGATCCTGAACTTGGGGCTGATGGTAGCCTTCTTCAAGCCAGTTCTCTTTGCCCCTTTTCATTCCAGACATCTACAACACAATATTCTGTCTCAGCGGGACAAATTGGCCCGATCTCTGGACAGGCTTTTCCTGGCTTGGTGGCTCAGGAATCTGGCTCTGGAGATGGAAGGCATTTCTTCCCATCTTTTGAAAGCTTCTTACAATAGACACCAGCTTGTTGGACTGGGGTGAGTCTGGGGCATCTTATCGTTGTGGGGTACTTGTTTGTCTGAGTAAACTTGAAGCTTACTTTTGGCTGTTCCTTCAGAGTTGGATGAACCTGCCATCCGATACAGATTAAGTGTGACAACGCCACTGTGGAGGCTTACATCAATCATCAGGGAGGTACTAGAAGTCTAACTGCAGTATGAGGGGTGGAGAGGATCCTGTCCCTGGCAGAACCTTGCGTTCCTGCTTTATCTGTTTTACAGATTAGAGGTGTATTCCATTGATCCTCATTTATCTGGATTGGCCCAGGCAGATGTGGTATGGCAACTTGGTAACCCTTCAAGCAGATACGCCATGGGCCCCGCCAAACCATCTAGTTCTAATGGCTGAAGTGCTGATTTAACATCCTGCTTCTTGGTTGCTGGCCCTAATACCATGGCTGTTAAAACCCATGTTCTAGGGAACAGTGGCATCTGAGTAATTCAAATAATGCTCAAGCCTAGAAAGTCCACTTCCCTCAAGGTCTATCATGAGATGTGAAAGGTGTACTTCGCTTGATGCAAGTCCTGGGGCTTCCCTCCCAGCAGCTTCTCTGTAGGCTGTATCATCTCTTTCTTAAGCTGGCCATAGACCTTACCACCATCGCAAGACTTTTGTCTTGTGGTAAGGTCATTAAAAAAACGTACGATCTGCCCATCTTGGACAGGCGAATCGTACTTGCGATAATCACAAGTCCGCCCCGCTGAGGGGCGGCATCTGATGACCGCAATGCTGACCGGCCAGTGTGCGCTTGCGCACACCGGCCTGTGCGGCAATTATCTTACGAGCATGCCACAAACCAGCCGAAAATCGTACGATTCTCGGCTGGTTTTCAAACATGTTCGTAAGACAAAGTCGTGCGACTGTACAGTAGAAACGGTTGCACGCCTTCCACACACCTTGCGATTATCGTACGATCGCGGGATTTCCCGCGATTATCGTACGATAATCGTAAGGTGTGTGGGCACCTTTTACAGTTTGGTCTGGATGTTTGGTTCTAAGCGTCATCAAAGGTCAAGCACAAACGAGCAGTTAACCGAGTGCAGGGGCAGCCCCAGTGCAAGGGTTAATAATTATACCCTGGGCTGGTCTACAGCTTTTGTGTTTTCCAATGTCAACTCCTCCTGTGTTTGGCAGTATAACCTGAAGGTTTAGGGCTTCTTGTGTCCATCGAGAAAAGGATTTTACAGAGTTAAAAAAATCCTATTTTTCGTAGCTATTTAATGTTAAATACAGTGGGGGAATTTTTAAAAACTGGAGCAGAATCTTTCCTGATTCTCTTACTTCTCGGAAGATAGGGGGAGGGGAAGGAGAGAGGGAGAGGGGGGTGAATAAGGAAAGAGAAATAAATAAATAATATAAATGTATGTGTGTGTATGTGAGTATGCATGTATGTATATGTTCTCATTTAGTCTCAATGACCATATGGTCTAAAGACATATACCTATGGGATTATACGCCTGTAATATCTGATTGGATTTTTTTTTTCCAAGATATAGTTTTAAATGTTTATATTATATGATTAACTTGTAAACCTTCCATAATGCTTAAGCTATGTTCTTCTATGTTCTTTGTTATTGAAAATATAAAACTTAAAGAAAGAATTATAAAAACAAAACAAAAACTGGAGCAGATAAAATCTGGAGCAGTTGCCTATGGCAGCCAATCGGCTTCTCTCTTCAGTTTGTTCAGTTAACCTTTGAAAAGGAAAGAGGAAGCTGATTGGTTTGCATGGACAACTGGTCCAGATTCTGTCTGCTCCAGTTTTGATAAATTCCCCTCAGTGAGTCATGAAAAAGAAAGGTATAATATCCATCTTCTCAAAACTTGCTTTAGCTTGTTCTGGTTTACATGTGGTTTCTGGAGCATGAAGAGTTTGAAATTATGGTATTAGGTGCCCTCTAGCAGCAAATTGTAGAACTGCAATTGTTGGATTTTGTTGTAAAACTTATAGTGAATTATTTCTTAGTGGGAAATGTTTTTTTTTTAAATACTGATACTTGTTTTGCCTTTCGGCTAACCAATACTTGTGTTTTCTCTTCCAGACTGTTCCTGAGTACATTCACACTGGCAGTTTCAGCCGGTGCTGTGCTGCTTCTTCCTTTCTCCATTATCAGCAATGAGATCCTCTTGTCTTTCCCTAAAAGCTACTATATCCAATGGCTGAATGGATCTCTCATTCATGGTTAGTAAATGTTGTCACATAAATGAAACAATGAGTGGAACTCGCAGTAAAATTGACACCATTTCGCAAACCGTATAAAATCATTCTGTTGTTACCAATACGTACAATGAGTACTTCAAGTTGTGTGTTCTTTATCTTTCTTTCACTTGTCAATTATGTTTAATTGGCTGGAGATGCTTATTATCTGTCCAGTATTAGCAGTCCAGAATCTGAAGGTGAAGGAGCTGATCTGACCAGACTCTAGTGCAGGAGTAAGTGGTACTCTGCATAAATCAGATTTCTCATTTTGTGGTGGATAAGATTGTCTTCACAGCTTTCTGGGATATAGCCAATGAAATGTTCTTTCATCCAGCATGACTCCACCCAAAATACCAACCCCTTTTATTCATCAACAAAGCAGGATTACACCAGAACTTGTCATGCATGGGATATAACACAACACAATAAAGATTTTCCAGCCTCCTCGCTGGATCGTTTTTGTTAGACTTTTAGTTAGACTTTCAGTCTGCTCTTACACAGACTCTCTCGACAGTCTCTCACTGTTTCTTAAGTCAGATGTTAAATTGATTTGACTCCTTCCTCATATAGGCAGAGACAGACCTGGACAGGCACTCCCAGAATGTCTTTACACAGCCTCGGCAGCAATGGTTCACCCAGTAGCCCTGGTCTAGTGTGGCCTCTTCCTTTTGTGGGCAAAACCTAGCTGTGTCTAATTACACTCCCCCCATAGACTACCAGTTCTAAGCTATTGGGCAATCGTATTCCCCAACAGGGGCGGACAGACCATACGGGCAGTCAGGCACTGCCCGAGGGCCTGTGGCCAAAGAGGGGGCCCGTCACAGATCTCCGTGCCCTTTTCATCCCGCATGTAGGAGGACGCAGATTTGTTAAATCGGCGACGGCAGTGTCGCCCGCCTCCCGGGCCTGTTATACACTGCCGTTGTCGCTTTAAAAGAGCTGCATCTCCTACAGCGGCGCGGCTGAGAAGAGCTCTGAGGTGGGGGCGTGTCGTAGTGGATGGGGGCGTGTTGCAGTGGACAGAGGGCTGACCTACCGCGGAGGAGGGACAGAGGCACGAGCGCCTCATGCTGGGGGGGCCCCACTGAGATCCGGCCCTGGGCCCCCCACTTAAGAGTTCTACAAAAACCCTGACTGGAACCGGGGGATCAGGAGCCCTGATGCTGGTAAGTGAATTTAATTACTTTTTTCTTATGAGCTGTAAATGGGAAGATTTTAACCTTTTTGTCTCCATTCATATACAGCGTTTGAGTTTCCTGTGCGGTTTTTCATGTGGGAGGCCGCACGGGACGCAAATGCTATATGTGAGCAGCACGGATTCCTCTCATTTGCGGCCATTATATAGCCGCAAACGTGGAATCTGACGGATTATCGTGCTTGCAGTACACACTGGAGCGGCTGTCCGCATATGAGCGGAGCCGCTTTAAACAGAAAAAACAATGCACTTTTATGTGCTTTGTCCAGACTATTGGAACACGCAGTACGAAACCGCACGGCGCCCAAAATAGTGCAAGTGCGATAATCCAGCGGATTCTGTACGTTCGCGGCTAAATAATAGCTGTAATGAGCGGACTCCATGCAGTTGTTTCACATATAGCGTTTGCGTCCCGTGTGGTCTTCCGCACGGAAATTCAAATGCTTTGGGGGTTATTCACCAATGAATAACCCAGCCAAAGTGAAGTGAGCTGAACGCTGTTTCGGCTATTCACTTCAGCCTTGTAATGCTGATTTCAGCTGTACCTCGGCTAAAATCAGCCGTACATCAGCTGAGCCGAAGTGCAGAAGGAGTTCGACTTAGCCGATCCGACATCTGGATCGGCTGAGCCGAAGCTCCGGCAGCTCACTCACTGCCGTTCGCCCCATTTCTCACAGGGGCCGAATAGCAGTGAGTAAGTAGCCAAATGCCACGAGCGGCATTCGGCTCGGCTATTCTGCTCGGTACCTCCGTGGTAGCGAGCAGAATAGAAAAAAAGTTAAATGAATGAGAAAAAATGTTTTAAGAAAATTTTTTTAACCAGTTGACATCCACGCTGTTAAACCCCCCTTCCCATCCAGGCCATTTTTCAGTATTCAGCGCAGCGGTACTTTGACTGACATTTATTCCGTCATGCAACGCTGTACTGAAATTAATTTTATACCATTTTTGGGGGACAGATAGAGCTTTCTTTTGGTGGTATTTATTCACCACTGGGGTTTTTAAAAATGTAAATTAAAAATATTTTAAAGAAAAAACAACGCACATCCTGTTTCCAATTGGCCGGCACCTGCCAGAGTCTTCTAGTAGGTCCCAGCCAATAAATAACAACTGGGTGGAGTCGGCTGTGATGGCATGACCCATTTGTTGGCATGGCCCAGTTGTTATTGTTTAATGACAGATCAGCATCCCCAGGTCATTTGAGGACGCTGATCTGTTATTACAACTGCCCAGCCCAGCTGTCATCTGCGTGGAGATCGTTCGGCTTCGGCTGACCTTTCTCCCTGCTTTGGCTGTGAATACGACTCAGCCAAGCTGAAGCCTATGGGTTCGGCTTGGCTGAGCCGCTCAGCTGCCTTCGGCTGCTGTACGGGCTATTGTGAATATTGTGAATAGCCCGTACAGCAATTCGGCTGTGGATGGGGCTTGTATATGGGTGGAGCACAAGGGGGCCCCATAATGTTGTATTGCCCGGGGGCCCCATGTGTTGTCAGTCCGCCCCTGTTCCCCAACACTGCCTTCCCCAGTTTAAACCCATTCATTGTAAAAATATTGAAGGGAATTTATCAAACCTGGAGCAGACAGAATTTGGGGCAATTGCCCACGGCAGCCAGTTGGCTTCTTTGTTTCATTTTTAAAGCTTAACTGAACAAACTGAAGAGAGAAGCTGATTGGTTACTATGGGCAACCACTCCAGATTCTGTCTGCTCCAGTTTTAATAAAATGGCAGAGTGTTCAGTGGCAGAGAAAATGGCAGAGTGTTCAGTAAGGGTCTGTTCACAGCATTGAGCTATGGTAACGTGTGTCGGCTTGGTGTGATGCCAGTCATTCTGAACTGTGCTCCAACGTGCCTTTCCAGTGGACATGCATTGCAGCACATGGTAGCAGACTGCTTTGCGTTACGGTATGTTGTGTTAGGAATTAGTACATGCACCTGTTTTAGTGCGCAGACAGCCTATTAGAATACACAACAGTGTGATGGGGCTCTAAATGTACATGTAAACATGTAGAAAGATTATATCTCACCTTTTGGGTTTATTAAAACGCAGCAAAGAGCAATGATGGACAGTAATCATGGTACATAAAGTCAATTTTGTCTGCAGACTAAAGCAGCTGACATTTGACTTTGATGGTCGCTATCTGTTACTACACGCTAGTGGCATTTCTGCTGGTAAAATAAGTAGGGATGCACCTATACCGGTATTTCGGTATCGAGTACCGATATTTTATTTGGTACTTGCCAATACAGAGTACCGGAAGTCCCATTCAGGAAGCTAGGCGGCATGTAAAGACTAACCACCCGGCTTCCCGATTAGCAGGGAAGCCGCCCCCATGCTTCTCGTCACTAGGTGACGAGAAAGCATGGAGCTGGCTTTCTGGCCAATCAGGAAGCTGGGCTGTGTAATGACACGACGCCCGGCTTCCTGATTGGCCGGAAGTTGGCTCCATGCTCCCTCGTCATGAGGTGAAGAGGGAGCACGAGGCCGGCCTCCCAGCCAATCAGAAACCTGGGCTCCGCGTCATTACTGGCCTAATTGGCCAGCTTCCTGATTGTCGGGGAAGCCGGCTCCATGCTCTCTAATCACAAGTGACGAGGGAGCATGGAGCCGGCTGTCCGGCCAATCAGGAAGCCGGGCAGTGTGTCATTACACCCCCCCGGCTTTCTGATTGGCCAACCGGAAGTAGCGGGCTAGGCATCGGAGCATTTGGGCACGTACGAGTACTCGCCGAAATACTCGGCATCCGCACCGATACCAATACTAGTATTGGTATCGGTGCATCACTAAAAGTAAGCCCTTTAAAATTTGACCATTATGAGCACATACATTAGAAGCATAATTAGAGTACCTATTGAAATGAGTTAAAATAATGTTAGAAGCTGTTATATTTTGATACTTGGTGTCTGGCCTAAAGTCATTGAAAAATACAGAACCGTATAAGCAGAATGTGACATTGTTGCTTTTCTTTTGTCTTACAAACGTGAAATGTATTGGTGTTCTGTCAGATAGTCACCACTAGATGGAGGTAAAGGTACATGAATTACATTCATTTTGTGTCATTTCAATATTCGATGTAAGCAATACTACTTCTATTCTTTATGTTTTCTGTTCCAGAGACCTGCAGGCCTCACGTATTGCCCAAATTCCTCTATAGTGTCATGTATGAGATTATTTGTTGTTTTGCTTATCAATAGAGACCATGGGGCAGAAGGATTTTTCAGGATGTGCTGATTAGATTGTGTAAATAATGTGTTGTGCGGCAGTACAAAGGTAATTGTAACGTATATGTTGCACTTACCTTTGTGTCACTCTTCTGCCACTTCTTTCCCAATCCCCTAATCATTTATTTTATTTGCTGTGCATTTGCCATGCAGTGTACATACCTGCTTAATTCGGGGCATCTGTAAAATCCTGAGAATGGAGCTGGGTGCAGGAGTGATGTAACCTCCATGCTCATTGCAGGAGTTAATTCATCAGTGTCCTCCCAATGGCCAAAATAAGCAGACGTTCATAAGTGTGAAAAACAATATTGTGCCGAGCTAATAATCATACATATCTAATAAAGTGAAACATATATAAGTGAGTCACATATATGAGCCTTCAAACAAATGAGGCATATAAAATATCTACACAAAGACAAAAAAGCAATATAGACAATAAAAAGTCTCAAGGAAAAAAGCAAAAGCAAACAATGGTGATTGTGCAAAAAAAAAATCCTTCCGATGATTTGCAGCCAATCTGCATATAACTCTCAGGTAAGGATAATCGCACAATGCAGGCAGACCTTCACCTCCACCCAGTGAGTGATGACAACAAGTGAGTGCTCACCTGGGGAGGTAGACCTACAGAGCTAGGTCAAATGCGCTTTTTCCCTTCTTAATGGGGGAGGGAAGCCCATGCACGGAACAGGCGATAAGGTCTCCTCAGATCACAGGTATTTATATCCAGGTGGAAAGAGAAAAAGGACAAGGGCATAGTGCGTAATGTCCAATAAAATGCAATTTATTAAATAAAAAATGCGTACTCACAATGATATAAACAGTACAGGCATTGGGTATTGCTGGATCAGACCAGCAGGGCAAATGGCAGCAAAGCGATAATAAAACCTGTTCGTCCGGCTCAGCTCAGTGCAGTGATATCAGAAGCTCTGCCCTACGTACGTTACGTCAAAACACGTGACTTCATCAGGGGTCTCATAAGTGCTGAATAAATTGGCAGCAACAGTGAGTGTAGATTTGTCAGCACTGGGGGGGGAGCACAGAAGAGAAGGTAGGTCTGGATATCAGGGCCAGCTGATCCAAAAAAAAAGAAACCTTATGACTTTAAAATCCGTTTTATTTGTTAATGTTACAATGAACTGAGGCACAACATTTCAGAATTACAATTTCATCACCTGGAGTTCAACATCTATTCTCATCCGATTGTGTGTTATTTGAAGGATTATAGCCTGTACTTTTCTTTTTTTCTTTTTGCGATTGAAAGATGAAACCTTTTTGGTTACTATTAGGGATGCACCGATACCAAGTACAGTACTCAGTACAAGTACAGATACTTTTCAAGCTCCATGACTAGACTAGAGAAAGATTCAAAAGTTAGGAGGCAGCTGTCATTTGTAAGGAGCACACGGAGCTCCTGGGATTTGTATCTCTGTTTTAAAGGAGAACTATGAGATGAGTGATTTCCACTCACCTCATAGTTCTAAGCCGACCTGTGACAATGAGACTGTCACAGGTCCGCTCAGTAGATCGGGAGGTGAGGGAACACATACCGGGTTCCCTCACCTCTCGATCCTGTCACGGCTCTCTGCCGTGACAGGGGGAGGGGCTGGATTCCCCTCTCCCCGCTCCCATCTGCCAGCGCTGACTGGCGGAACAGACGGGGGAGGGGGCGGGTACAGCTGGCTCTGCCTCTAGGTAGGCAGAGCCAGCTGTCACTCACGCAGCTGGGCGGATCCCGTCATCTACGTCGGGATCCGCTCCAGGTGAGGCGTCTCAGTATACCGCGAGCTTTAGCTCGCGGTATACTGAGCTTAGGGTGACGGGAGGACGCTAGTTTGTGTCCTCCCGTTACCCTAAGGAGAACTATGGGGAAAAACACTGACCCCATAGTTCTCCTTTAATACTTTATTTTATTTTTAAATCTATAACATGCACCGATACCATTTTTCCAAGTACTCACAGATACAAGTACTGATACATTTTTGTTTAGTGTCATGTGACAGTTTTTCTAAAACAATACAGACTAATGATTTCAGGACAGTGGTGGAGCGCCAGAGCCAGGTCCCAGCTACAACCCTGGTAGTTCTCATGAAAATGCCAAGTATCGGCACTGGTATCTTTGCATTCCTAGTTACTATAGTACTAAAAGCTGTAGTGACACATGGACTCCAGTTTTTCTTTCACTAGGCTTTATGGAGCCCCCCCCTCTTGAGTTAGGTGACAAAGTATAATTTGCCAGCACAGGCACTGTAAAACGTAAATAGTGTGTTCTGTTCAGAGACACATTTCACAAAGTGACTTTCAGCAAAGCACGCTTCAGATTAATCACCCAAGAAATCTGTGGGCTTTAAATCTTGGATGACAGCCAGGCTGCAGCCTGACATATTAAATATTTTCATTAGGACCACCGATGATTCTATTTCTGGATCTAGCCTCGTTCCAGGGACACACGTTTTATGAATGTTGTGATAAAGACGTGTCCTAAGGCCTCTACAGAGCTTGAAATAAAATTGATATATTAACTTAACAGATCATGGAGAAAAACTGAATGGGCCTGATGTATATAAAGAAGAGGAATGGAGAATGTCAGTGTTGGTTATAGCAACCAATCACATCCCAGGAGCTAAGTGGATTCCAGTAAATTCAACCTGTACATCATTCTAAATGTAGGGGGCCTGGCTAAGAACTGGCATAACGAGATGCTTCCTGTAACTTTTATCAGAGCAGAGCTTCTTCCTGGGGGTCTCTCTGGTTTAGTTTCACTTTGTTACTGGAAATTCCTTTTTAATGATAGGCCCTGTCACCAACCATTCGCCTATGCAGTAAGAGTGCTTTTACTGCAACCTAATTGGACAATGGCATTCAATGGGAGTCGGGGCAAGTCTGGCACCCAAAATAAGTGAATCTAAATCATTCTAGCTAAAGCGATTCGTGACCTTTTAGGCAAGACATTGAAAACATATTTTAAAGCCACAGTTGAGGAAAAATGATACTATAGACTCGGCACTAGATGCATACATTATTATTAAAAAGGTGGTTGTTGTGTGTGGAGGGCTCCTGCAAAGTATAAAAATCTTACCTTGCAGCATGCTATCTCCCGCACATAACACTGAGCTTCTGGGCACTGAAGAGAGGGAGAGATGTGACTCAAGCAGTACAGTGCTCCGGTCTCATCACTTGACCCTCCTCACTATCCTCCATTTACAAAGTGTCCTCCTCGTCCCCTCCTCGCCTCACACAGGCCTGGATATATGCAGACAAACGATGGCTGTCATCTGCATTGTTTGAATTATTCCTGTTGATGTCAATAAAAGTATATGTTCTATGGCTCATAACTTTTCGGCCTGCTTCTAGAATGGACTTGTGTGCTCCTGAATCATATGTGGTTTTCTTCGGGCATGGTGTCTTATATGAAAATTGTTTATACACCAGGTGTATGTTTGCTAATTTTGACTCATACTGCTGAACATTTTAAATACTCTGCTCCAAAACAATATACACTGGAATTTTATTGTTATTAAATAACCGTATTGTTTGAAATTTTCAGGTCTGTGGAATTTGGTTTCCCTTTTCTCCAATCTGTGTCTGTTTGTGCTGATGCCATTTGCGTTCTTCTTTCTTGAATCTGAAGGCTTTGCCGGACTGAAAAAGGTAATTTATTTTTCTTTGTGAATAAAGCTGTCTCATATTAATTTACATAAAGAGAGTACTATGCAGTTAGCTGCTTATCTATAATGCGTCTATACAAGTCTTTTACAGGCCATGTTTTCCACACTTCCCGATGGCAGGAAAGGCAGTAATGTTATTGTAATCTTTTAGGAAAACTTCCCTTGTATCACCAGAGATTTTGGTTTTCATCTAGAGAAAATTGCAAGTGGTACCAGTTATTCAAATGCTGCTACAGACCTTTGTGCCATCATTTGTTTTCTGTCACAGAAATGTGTTTATTAGAATAGTGTCCCTGGATATTTACTTATTTCTTTTATGTTTGATCTATAATTTGGTAAAGTTCCTGTTTTGTTGAATTTACTATAAAAAGCAGAAGCATTCAATGGGGTATATGCACAAACTATGAAATGGGTACTTCCCTTCCCACTGCCCAAGCTGCAGATCTTTGCTCTCTTGAAGAGCTACACTTGCTAAACAATCTTCTGCATTTGACACTTGGGGGCCAGGCTTCCAACACTCCCCAATCTGTGTGCTGTGGCCCCATCCTCACACAGCAGTGATGTACAGTGGTACCCCGGGTCATGAACTTTATTCGATCCATGATTCTGGTCGCAAACCAAATCAAATTTCCCTGTAAGGTTAATCCGTTCTGACCCCTACGAACGTGGTCACGAACCGTTTTTGGTCCAGAACAGAATCAAATTTTCCCATAAGGTTCAATGTAACTGAGGTTTATCTGTTCTGAACCATAGGTATATTCATTCCCACTCTGCACTTTTTACCACCATGCTTGCTCTGCACTTTCTTTGGAGCCATGCTGGATTGAATACTGTACAGTACTGTACGTGCTAAAAAGCACACAAAAAAGCTTCACCGCAAGTGTGCACAAGTCGGTCTGCGACCGCAATCTCGACTATCGGAAACCACGACCACGTGTCGGAGCAGAAAAGATGGCCGTGGTCGTGTTCATCACGCGATTTGGAGTTTGTGAACAGAAGCAAAATTTTGCTGAACTTCCTGTTCGCAAACCGAATTGTTTGCGAAAAGAAGCATTCGTGAACCGAGGTATTACTGTACAATGTGGAACAGGGACAGGCATCTGATACACTGTCTGATGCCGAAGATTCCTTGGCAATGAAAGATAGTGAAGAGTCATATAGACAGATTTGCTGACAAAAGTTAAAAAGTGTTTCCTTCGACTTACTAGTTTAGGTTTTTTTAAATTTTTCTCTGTGCTATTTTTTATTTTGGATGACCTCACTTGACTTTTGCCAAGGTCTAACCTTTAGGCCTCATGCACACTAGCAGGCTGCGTTTAAGCCCAACAGAAGTTATCTGGTAATTAGAAAAACAACTTTATGCTTCCCAGATCACTTTTTTCTGTGCTGTGCTTAGTCGCGTTTACACGCATTTAGCCACATAAAACTGGGCTAGCCGGACCCAGAAAGCAGAAATTTCTATTTTGGGTATACTGACCTAGACTGAAGGCACCTAGATGCTGCTGGACGCCTAGGTGTGCATTGTCATAGAAATGCATCACATGAGTTCAGGTGCGTTTTTAGAAATGAGCTCCAAACACACCTGAACTCAACGTTTTGGTACGTAGTGTGCATGAGGCCTTAAACTGAACTTCAACTAATGGATACACAGATAAAATACATACATGGGGCTGTTCTAACTGCCAAAGGATTTGCATTTCTACCTGTTTATTCCTAAGATTTCCACATTCTGTCACAGACCATATGATGACACTAATTTCTCTGTTACAGTCGAAGTGGACCTTGCTTAAGGTCTGCTTTATTCTTTAGGCTTTCACCTTCTCCCATGCAAAAACAGCATTAAACATTCCAAAAATTCACACATTGACTTGGTAGCTTTGTCATTTTCCTGCCGCCTCTACATTAGTCTTTGAGGCGGTGTGTTGGACAGTGGGCCCTACAGTAGCTCTGATAAAGCTGGCTTGTACCTTCACAGCTAACACCCATTACCACTTTCCTGCTTGTTCCACTGCAAGATTGCAGCACAATTATCCAGCAGCTATGCAAGTAGAGCAGAAAAGGATAACAAATATTTAATATAAAATGCCCGGCAATGCGACATCAATCCAGCAAGCCCAGAAGATCTTCTAGACTGCTACAATTTAGAACTCTGTTAGTTTTAAACACAAATGCCGTTTATTTTTTTCATTAAACTAAAAATGTATCTGTATTGATAAGGAAGTTTGAAAGGGAAACATCTGAAAATTTCTCAGGCGGCCGCAAAGGATCTTGGGGCGGTGGCATGCGCAGTTTGGCCGGGAGACGAGGAGAGACACAAGGTAAGTATATGGAGCAGCGTGCACCCGCACAGACACCGTGGGACTTCAGAGGAGTCAGGAGATCGGAGAC